GGGTCGCCCCCCCGAGGCGTGGAGAGCAGCTTGGCGAGACGCTTCGGCCACGAGGGGCGCAAGGCGGCCTGGCAGGGCCGAGCGCGGCCGCCGGGAGACGAAACGGTGACGAGTGCTCCGATGCCGCCGTCCTGGGAGCTCTGCCCCTGGTGCAGCAACAGCCAGTGAGGCAACGTGCCGCTGGCTCTCGCGATTCGACAGGGCGCGTCGTGCATCGTCTTCCTGCTGCCGTGGAGGCAGGATGCGAGAGCTACGAGCATCTCGCGAGGGAGAACGCCAGCTCCGCACCCCCGCCAGGTTGCAGCACTGCTCGAAATCGTCGACAACCTTCTCGGCGCCCCTGGGCCCCGTCTGACGGCCCCCTAAGGTCGGCCAACTCATCGTGGGCTCGACTTTGACGACTTACTGCGCCTGGCCGCCTCGGCCCCGCCCGGCCACCAGCTGCTCCGTGACGCGGGCCCTCGTCGTCGAGCAGCCCCTCGCGCCGTCGCCCCTCTCCTCACTCTTGCCCTCGCCGCGCGATCGGCCCGCCACCTCGCAGCGTCGCAGGGGCGACCCTCGTGGCACTCATGCTCTCGGCACCAGCCCTCGCGCGCCTCGTCGCGCCCCCCCCCCCCCCCCTTGCGGCGCCTCGGCCCGCGCCCCTGCGCCAGGAACCTCCGGGCGCCCGCTCCGACGACCCCCCAGGCGGCGGTGCTCCGGCCCGCGCCCGGGCCCCAGAGGCCCGGGGCGCCCCTAGGCCTCTGGGACCTCCCTCCTCGGCCCCTCGAGCCGCTGCCCCCCCGGGCCCACCTCTGGCGCTCTGCTCGGAGGAGGAGGAGGAGGAGGAGGAGGAGGAGCGCCAGTAGCTTTCGGAAGAGGAGGAGGAGGAGGAGGAGGAGAGGAGGAGGAGGAGGAGGAGGGGAAGGAGGAGGAGGGCCCCCTGCAGAGGGCCTCCCTGGTCGCGGCGAGCAAGGCAAGGGGGTCTCCACGCTCGCCCTGGCCCTGCTCGGCTCCTCTGGCGGGCCCCGCACCCCGCGGCGAAGGGCCCTCGAAGCCTCGCCCCGCCGCGGGGCGCCCGCCGGCCCTCGGCGGGGCGCCGGCGGGCTTGCCCGAGCCCGGCCCGCCCCGAAGGGCCCGGCCGTCGCCCCCTCCGGCGTCGCGCCCCCGCGGCTGCGCCCGGCCTCGGCCTTCCGAGCTCGAGCTCCCATCCGCGCGGCCCCCCCTGCCTGGGGCGCCCTCCGGCCGCCGTGCCCACCGACCGCGGGTCTCGATCGCCGGCCCGCGGGCCATCGTCGGCGCGGGGCCCCCGGGGGACCCCGCGGGGGGGGCGCAGAACTCCGCTGCGCCCACGCCGCTCAGCGGGGCACCGCGCGCCCCAGAGGACGCCGCATGGCTCGCGCCCTCTCCCGGCGCCGCACGATGGAATTCCTCGGGCAGGCTTCGGGGAGCACGAGTGCCCCCGTCCAAAAACTCGGGGACATCTTCGTCCCCCGTGGAAAAATCCACGTTGACCTCGTCTAGCGCGCACAGCTCGCTAAGATGTGCCATGTCTATCCTCGCGTTCGGGCTCCATCCTGGGTCTCGCGAGCCCACTGTGCTCGCCTGGGTCTTCCACGCATCCGGGGGCGCCTCCTTCATTCTGGCGCTGTGGCGGTCTAGGTCCTGGTCTTCATAGATCTTATGTAAGACCTGATGTGATTATTAGTTATCGCTTTCGCTCCTCGATATTCGTCTATTCAGCCTACTTGCAACAGCATAAACTTAGTATTCTCCGCCGCGGGTGTAAAGCTCACGAAATCTGGATCTTCTCTGCTGCAACACAGCTTCTCTCGTCGACGGGTCGCTGCGCTAGTTCTGGGCGGTCCTTCGGCCGCTGACGCCACTGGTTTCGACATGCTGGGAGGTACTTCTTTAACTCCCTGAATCACGCTTCTCGCTGCCGCATCGGTCGCTTTACATTTATTCCTGTCATCCTCCTGCCTGCTGTCCCCATGCTAGATCGCCATCGTGCACCTCCAGATCTTAAGCTCTTCGGTCTGATCTGTCCGTGTGACTGTTCCTCGCCGGGTCTTGGAATTGATCCTGAGACCCTCCGTGAATCGCCACGCAGTTCACTCGTTCCATCCGAGCAACTCCAGCTTCGGAACAGCCTCGGCATGCATCGCACTGACGACATCCCCTGCCCAGTTCGCGATTTTTCTTCCTTCACTCGTAGGTTTAACTGCTGCGCGCATCTGCTCGAGGTCAGACTGAGTCACTTCCACGCTCAGTTTGTCTTCTCTCCTCGGCCGCTGCCGACTTCAGGATTATCAGATGTTCTCGCTGATTATCCCTCATCTCGATCTGCGGCCCGCAGGCCGCGCTGACCCCCCTTCTACCCACGCGTTCCTTGGTCCTCTGCGCCCGCGGGCGCCTCCTCGCGTACATGAACGTTTTCGCATTCGCTTCCTCTGGTCGGCCTCCGTCGAGGCGGCCCATTACCGCGTCGTTATTTGTCTGAGCGCACTCCTGCAGATTCGCATCAAACTCCAGCCGCCATGGCACTTTTCCTTCTACGTCTACTCCCGGTCGTACCCAATCCTACCTAGGTTTTCGCTGGACGTGTCTTAGCCCGCAAACGCAAGACGGCTCTTCAAGAAGAAATCCTTCACGATTTGCCAAAGCAGCCCCCACCTGCAACGCGCGTGATCACCGTTACGTAATGCAACACCTAAGTGTTCTCCCGGGCCGCTTGTATGATGCAGCACTCCGCCCTAGACAGAGTGAGATCACACCGAGCTTGCGGCTTGGGACTAACCTGCCCTGCCTCGAGGTTCTTACGGCTCCTCGAGGTTCCCTTCTTACGGAACCTACGATATCGAAATGATGTTCTATTGTTGCCCAGGCTCGCCGGGGTCAGTACGCCGGCTTCGAGCCCAAAAGGCAGCGACACGCGTGCCATGCAGTGCGAGTCGCTGCGTGTGTCTAGACACGCGCGCGCGTGCGTAACACACAACACACGCATATACATGTACGCATAGCCGTGTCCAACGCAACACAGCCGTACGACTGTCACTACTTACGATCCCTAGACAGTAGGTGGTCCACCATCCTGCTCTTGCTTCTCCTCCGATGTTTTCCTCCACCCCTCCTCCTCGTCCCTCCTCCTCCTTCTCCTCCTCCTCCTCTTCCTCCTCCTCCTGGTTCAAGACATGCTCCATCGACTCGCCTCCTCCTCCTCGAACCCCCTTGGGGTTCGATCCTTGATCCCTCCCCCTCATGCCGCCCATCCGCCTTCGTCCTCGCGGCGCTGGCCTGCCACAGCAGGCGAGGGTGGTGGGGTCCAGCATCACGTCATCGCAGATGCCGCAGGCGAACAGCTCGACGAGGGCCTCTGCCAAGGGCCCACCAAGGTCGCCGCCGCTCGGTCCGTCGGCTCGTCGAAGATCTCCGACGGCTTCGGAGGCTTCCCGCGGCTCTCGGAGGCTCTTGGGCTCTGGGAGGTTTTCGGGGGTCCTCGTCGTCGTCGTCGGCGGAGTCGTCGTCATCGTCGTCGGCGGAGTCGTCGTCTCCGGCAGCAACGTAATCGTCGGCAACGTCGTCGTCTCCTCCGTACAAACGGTCCTCAAAGTCGTCTACAAAGTCGTCGCCATCATCATCATGAAAGTCTTCGTCGCCGTCAACCCCGTCGCTGTCGTCGTCACAGCCGTCGTAATCGTCCGTTGATGTCGCTGTCGTGTCGTCGTCAAAGAGGTGCACGCCGCCTCCAATCTCTGTCAATCCTGTTGGCTTTTCGATCCAGAGCTGGCGCGGAGGAGAACGAGGAAGAACGGAGGAGGATGACGCAGAACGGGAGGGAGCCCGAGAGGAGGAAGGGGGGAGAGGAAAGGCGAGGAGAAGAAAGAGCAGATCGAAGGGGAAAGAATAAGAGGAGAAATAATAACAAAACGAACCAGTATAATGATAATAATAATCGTAGTAATACGATTGTAAACATAAGTATAGTAAGCATACAAGTAGTGTGAGAGACACCAGCCATAATAGTACGACGCGAAGTATCAGGCTGATAATGTTAATCATATACATGTAAATGCTAACCGTACTCATAAACTTAAAAATACTGAAAGTAAAACCAACAAGACACGAATACGGCCAATGACGATAGTCGGCTGATACTGAAGTGTACCAAAAAACATAACGAGTATCTTTCGCTACCAGAAAACAATCGAAACAAACAACAACGAATAGTAAGTGAGAACATCAAGAGTTCGGAACATAATGCGAGTAAGCATAAAAAAGAAGGACAAATATGAGAAGACAACGCGCTCCGAGAATGGAGCTCCTGCCCACGGGGCTGCGCCGCCAGCCGCGGGCAGTCGGATCGGAAGAGCAGCGGGGGGCGCAGAGGACACGACGGGGAGTACTGGGAGGGCGCCAATGGGAGGGGGGAAAGGCAGGCGCCGACGGGCAGGGCGGCCAGACGAGCGCGCCAGCGTGCTGGGCCGCGGCCCTCCAAGGACAGGGCGGCGGCGCCGCGGCGCAGGACACGCGAAGGACTCAGACATCCGACGTCGGGGCTTTTCGCGGCGACGCTCCCCAAAGGCTTTAAGGTCTGGGCCCCTTGGCGGGTGCGGGCTTTCCGTCCAGGCTCGTCCTGGTCATTCCTCGGACCCGGCAAGTGCCCCCAGAGGCCAAAAGTGGCCACAAACCTCCCGCATTGGTTTCTTCACGGCGCAAGGGTGGCATGGGGAATAGGGGAAGAGGAGGAGAGAAGATAGAGGAGGAGGAGGAGGAGGAGGAGGAGGAGGAGGAGGAGGAGGAGGAATAGGAGGAGGAGGTAGAGGAGGAGAAGGAGAAGAGGGAGGAGCAGGAGGAGGAGGAGGAGGAGCAGGAGGAGAGAAGATAGAGGAGGAGGGGGAGGAGGAGGAGGAGGAGGAGCAGGAGGAGGAGGAGCAGGAGGAGGAGGAGGAGAAAAGAAGGAGGGGAAGGAGGAGGAGGAGGACGACGACGACGACGAGAGGTCGGGCGACTTCCTTCAGGCGCAGCAGGCGGCCAAGCCGACGCGCTGCGGCACGCGCGAGCGCCCAACTCCGGCGGCAGGCGGCTGGTGCAGCGCGGGCGTCCTCTCGACGATCCTCTGAGCGCGCGTCGGCGCCATCGTGTGCTCGCTCATCAAGGTCCTCCAACACGACGCGGGCGGTAGCAGTCAGGCAGCCTCCCGATCCCCAAGGGAGGAGACTAGAGACTGGGTTGGCCTGCTTCCGCAGAGGCAGGTTACCCCAAGGGGAGGAGGAGGAGGAGGAGGAGGAGGAGGAGGAGGAGGAGGAGGAGGAGTAATAGAACGAGGAGGAGAACGAGGAGGAGCGATCCCCAGACTACCCCCGGAGACCCTGTTCATTTTTCGGCGGCAGCCCGGGTTATCCGCTGAGGTGGAGGGGAGGTGCCGACCGAGAACCGAACCCCTAATCTTTTCGGTTTGGGCAGCCCCACGTGTGCCCGCGCGCAACGATACCCCTTCGGACCTGCGCAACCGGCAAGGTCAGAATATCCGGGGGGAGGGGAGGGGGGGGTGGGCAGGCGGGCCCGATGATCTGGGCGATCGCCAAACCCTCGAAGAAACAGTCTCCCGTGATTGCACTGGGGCGTCCTGAGGATCGGCCTTGACACGCGGAACGGCCCGCTGCGCCGCCTCGGAAGAGGCGGGCGCCGTGCCCAACACGGCAGCGGCGAATTAAAACCAGTGCGGCGCGGCCGCTTTAAACCGGTGGCAGGGGGCGCATGGCTTCAGGGCCGGCGGCCTGCAGGGCCCCGGGGTGCCCCTGCCCCTCCGCCTTCCCCACCTGCTCCTGCTCCTCCTCCTCCCCTTCCTCCTGCTGCCGCTCCTCCTCCTTCTCCTCCTTGTCCTCCTCCTCCGCCTCCTTCTCCTCCTCTTCCTCCTCCTCCTCCTCCTCCTCCTCCTCCTCCTCCTCCTCCTCCTCCTCCTCCTCCTCCTCCTCATCCTCCTCCCCTCCTCCTCTTCCCCCCCTCTTCCTTCTAGCTCCAGCTCCTGCTCCACCCCTTTTCCATAGAAGTAGATCCTCCCTGTCGCCCCCCCCCCCCGGGTCGGCAAGGCGGACCGGGCGTTTCGCCCAAGATGTCCTCAGACATGGCACCGAAGCTTGAGATTTGCAACAGCTTCACGGACCGAGGGCGGCTCGTTGTCGTAACGTGGCTCTCGCCTTCGCGCCGCGCGCCCTCGACTTTAAATCTGCAGCAGCTTCATGGATGGAGGGCGTCTCGTCGACAAAATTATCCCAGTGCGACCCTACCTAGGAGTTGGAGCCCCTAGGAAAGCAGCATTAGTAGTAACAATAAAGCTAAGCAAAAGCTAAGCTGCAGCTAAGCTACAGCTAAGCTAAAGCTAAGCTAAAGCTAAGCTAAAGCTAAGCTAAAGCTAAGCTAATGCTAAGCTAAATCTAAGCTACAGCTAAGCTAAAGCTAAGCTAACGCTAAGTTAAAGCTAAGCTAAAACTAAGATAAAGCTAAGCTAAAGCTAAGCTAGCGCTAAGCTAAAGCTAAGCTAACTATAAGCTACAGCTAAGCTAGATATAAGCTTAAGCGAAGCTAAAGCTACAGCTAAAGCTAAGCTAAAGCTAAGCTAAAGCTAAGATAAAGCTAAGCTAAAGCTAAGCTAACGCTAAGCTAACGCTAAGCTAACGTTATGCTGCAGCTAAGTTAAAGCTAAGCCAACGCTAAAATAAAGCTAAGCTAAAGCTAGCTAAAGCTAAGCTAAAGCTAAGATGAAGCTAAGCTAAAGCTAAGCTAGGTTAAAGCTAAGCTAAAGTTACAATAAAGCTAAGCTAAAGTTAAGCTAAAGCTAAGCTAAAGCTAAGCTAAAGCTAAGCTAAAGCTAAGCTAAAGCTAAGCTAAAGCTAAGCTAAAGCTAAGCTAAAGCTAAGCTAAATCTAAAGTTAAAGCTAAAGCTAAAAGCTAAAAGCTAAAGCTAAAGCTCCCAGGGGACTGGGGGAACCGCGGGGCGGGGACTGGGGGAACCGCCCGGGCGCTGTGCACTGCCCGGCCCCTTTAAGCTAAGAGAGTAAGAACCCTTCTAGGCAGAGCCTAGGTAGGGAAAATGTGGCTCTCGCCATGGGGCCACGCGCTGTCGTCTTGAAAGCTGGCAGCAGATTCCAGCACGGAGGGCTCGCGCCTAGGTGCCGCGCACGCTCGCCTCAAACATTTGTAGCAGTTTCGAAAATGGAGGGCGGCTCCGCTTCGAAATGTGATCTCGCCATAGTGCCACGCACATTCGTCTTAAAGTTTGCAGCAGTTTCGAGGATTCGTAAGGTTGAAGTCCCAGGGGTACCGTTCTGGCACGATTTCAGATTGTCCGGACGCATCAGTCACGCTGGCTCGCGGTCTTGAAGTTCCAACCATGATGTTCTGGGGCGTTTTAGGAAGACCAGAACGCAACAGTCACAAAGATTCGTGGCGTTGAGATCCCATACCTTGTGCACTAACACAATTAATGATTATCCAACGGTTGTCTTATAATAGGTCATTTCCCGCACTGAAGCAAAGTTCCTGTAGGGACCAAGGAAGCGGGACCCTGAAGGGAGGGTTTATTGATACCTCGGTGGCGCACCCTTGGTTTACACTGGTCCTCCACGCATCCTCCTCCTCCTCCTACTCCTCCTCCTCCTCCTCCTCTTCCTCCTCCTCCTCCCCTCCGACTCCTCCTCCTCCTCCTCCTCCTCCTCCCCTCCGACTCCTCCCCCTCTGACTCCTGATTATGCTCCTCCTCCTCCTCCTCATCATCATCATCAGCATCATCATCATCAGCATCATCATCATCAGCATCATCATCATCAACATGATCATCATCACCAGCATCATCAGCAGCATCAGCATCATCACAATCAGCATCATCATCATCATCATCAGCAGCATCATCATCATCATCATCATCATCATCATCCTCATCGTCATCATCATCATCATCATCATCATCATCATCATCATCATCGTCATCATCAGCATCATCATCATCAGCAGCAGCAGCATCATCGTTCCTGCTGCTCCCACCTGTATATTGGCCTACTGTAGCGCGATCGCCTTTGGCCTTGCCAGGAGGGAGCTTTCCGGGATCCTCCCTGAAGTTACTCACCCGCCACCGTGCCTCGACACGCTCAGGCGTGGAAGTATGTCAGATGCTGCCTGGTAGGGGTTATGTAGTTTTCTAAGGGGCCCTCCACTTTCCGTCCCACACAGAGATGACTGCACCACCCCTGTTCCCGAGGGTCCCTGGGCGGCAATACCGCCCAGGAAGGTCAGCCAAGACGGACCTGGCAGGCCACCACGGCCGCCAAGATCCTCCAAGAGGCCTCCGTGACGGCCTAAGATGGCCTCGAGACGGCCCAGAAGGCCTCCAAGACGGCCCAAGAGGGCTCCAATAGAGCCGCCCGACAAGGCCAAAATCGCTGATCTTCCTAACCGGACCCAAGAATGCGCCAAGAAGGCCCAAGAGCGGCCCAAGAGCAGTCCCACAGCATCCCAAGTCGGCCCAAGAAAGCGCTCAGACGGCCCTCAAGGTCCCCGGGAGCCCCAAGACGACCAGAGAGACCCCTGTCATGGACTCTGAAAGCACCCATATGGCCCAAGAGCGCCTTCAGGCGGCCCAAGGATCCCCTAGAAGCCACAAACAAGCCTCAAAGGCGCTGCCACGAGGCCCCAAGATGCCCCAACGAACCCCATCAAGAGACCCCCAGAACTAGAGAGAAATCCGTTCGGACCGTCGAAAGTGCATGTTTCTGCAGCTTGTTCTTGGAGAGTACAGAAGGGCCTGGACCCCCGAGTCCCCAGAGGAGGTCTGACCCCTCCTGTGGTGTTCCGACGGCCTTGTGCCAGAGGCCTCGGGGCCGCAGCTGGGTCGGAGGGCCCTGCCTGTGGGACCCTCCTGGGCTGGCGTGGCAGACCTCGGGGCCCACTCAGGAGGCCAGAATCGCCCAAGCTATCATAGTAAGTTTTTGCTACAGCAGCGCGCGCAAGCGAGCCGAAGCAGGTGCAGGCACAGCTCAGGCTACGGGTGGGGCGCTGGGAACGACCTGGGGCACGTCGGAACGCGGGGAGAGCGGATGGGGAGGAGAACGAAGAGCCAGGCTGATCGTGCAGACCGTCGCGGGCGCGTCGACGAAGTGCAAACGATCAGCATACAGGTCAGGTTTTGATACATCGGTTTTTTTAACTATATGATTTAAATTAAATACATGACTAATGTATGAATGAATTTATGCATGAACACAGCGTTGTTGTTAATGCTAAATCCCTGCATATTTAATACATGATCCGCACGCGGAGCATGTATACAAAAAACGGCACTGTAAACATATGTTTGTTTTTATATATGTGCTTTTATTTATTTATATATATATATATAAAAACGCCCCTCGAGAGGGCGATGCCGAGCCGCAACCAGGCCGACGAATTACACACGATCTGTTTCAACATGCTCGGACGTGTGGTCTTCAGAGCGCTCTAGACAGTTCAAGAGGCCCCAAGCACTGCCCCAACAAGACGGCCCTCGAGGGCCCCAGTAGCGCCCAATACGCCGCCCAGACGGCCCCAAGAGGGGCCAACGAGGAGGAACCCAGAACTACGTGTCGAGCTCCCTCCACCAAGATGCCCTCCGAGACCGCCAGCGAGCCCCCCAAAAGGCCTCCATGAGGCGACCAGGTGCCCCCAAGAAGCGCCCAAGAGGCCGCAAGAGGTCCACAAGAGGCCCCCAAGAAGAGGCCTCGCACGAGATCCCAGGAGGCTCCCTAAGAGGCCGCTTGAGCGCGACCCAGGCACGGAGGCAGGATGGGCCGAAGGCCACCCGAGCGCCGCCCCCGCTGGCTTGCCTCGGGGTGCTTGGCGTGCCGAACTCTAGACAAGCCGTTCTGGATCGTATGTTCGCCTTTCTGTCAAGGTGGCTCCTCGAGGGCCTCCAAGACGGCCAATAGAGCCCCATATAGCATTAGAAGACTCCAAAGATCGTCTCCAAGACGGCCAAGATGAGCCCAAGATGGCCACAATATCGCCCAAGACGGACAAGAGGTTCCAAAGATGCGTCCAAGATAACCCCAGGAGGGCCCGACGATCAAAATCGCTGTTTCCCCTTAGGTCGGTGAATTATCTCAGCGTTCGCGCTGTTTCGTGTCCGACGGCCCAAAAAGGCACAAGAGACCCCCAAGATGGCCCCGAGGCAGCCCAAGTGACCTCCAGGAGGGCCCCAAGATGCCCCAAAGGGCCCCACAAACTCCCCAAACATTGCCCAAGACGGCCAACGAGACCTCCAAGATGGCTCTAAAGCGCCCCCAGAGGCTACCAAGGCGGCCCAAAGAGGCTTCCAAGACGGCCTCCAAAAGCGTCAGACGGACCTAGAGCGCCTCAAGAGAGCCTACGAGGCCCCAAAGAGGCCAGGAGAGGCCCCCTAGATGACCGGAAGTAGCCCCCAGGAGAGCCCCGAGAGGTTCCCAAGAGGTATCCCCCTCCTCCTCACCACCACCCGTGTGCTCCCTTGCCTTCCTCGTCTACTTATTATCCTCCTCCTCCTCCTCCTCCTCTTCCTCCTCCTCCTCCTCCTCCTCCTCTTCCTCCTCCTCCTCCTCCTTGAACCTTCTTCTTCAGAAACAACTCCACCCCTGTCGCACCACCAGACGAGTCCGTGAGACGAGGCGGACATGTCGCTTGAGACGTCTTTACCGCTTACTACCCTGAAAATCGAAGACCGCACCACTCACAGGGACGAAGGGCCGGGCGTCTTCAACATGCGGCTCTCGATTGAGAGCCGCGCACATCAGCCTTGTAC